CCACATTCAGCCATTTAAAAATATACATACATCTTACACGGTGAATGATGCAGAAGAAAATTTTTGGTTCAAAAAGTCTATCCCACTGGCACAAGCTGATGTCTACTACAGTTCCTTGGTTAACATCTGGAAATGGACATGCAACCCTTTTATTAAATATAGTTTGAATTCGCGCCTTATGCAACTATTGAATAATTTTAATCTTTACGCTTCGCACCGCCGCATTAGGTAAGTGTGTCCCAATCTCTTAAAATACATCTGGTCACATTTCAATCGTAAGAAACGAACGAATGTAGAATCAACTATTATGATAAGAAGTTTATTTTTGTAACGTGGTGTAAATATTCCGATACAAGCCATAGATCATATTTATACTGCCAGAAAATTTAAGACTCTTTACTAACGAGATGAACACTTCTTTAAGGCGTCAGGTAAGAAACATTTTATTTTACGAAATTACTTATAATATGTATGTGAGGAAAGCAACAGAGTATATGACAAAACATTATAGACCTATTTATATATAACTGATTCATTGATCTTACCCATTTAAAGCCTACCTAACCTTTCTATCAGTTACCGAAATCCATGTTGTTATAGTGTCACACCCGTAATCCGCGACACGCTGGAGATGTGCGTGCACCAAAGAAATGCGATGCGTCGAGATAAAGTGTTGAATGTTGTTGCAGGTGTTGGAGTGTTTTAAACGTCTTCACAGAACCCGGGAAATGGTGTTTCGAGACGACAGTTTTGCCCTTCAAGGTATGATACTGTTACATATTTTTTTTACATAATATCCCCGGATATGATAGTGGCACATGACGTCATGGCATCGAAAAACCAAACTTGTTGCAGAATTCGCATTTGCGATTGCTAACGCCACAATAATCACTCTATAATGCAACAAAACTTACCAACTAGGGTATGGGCAGGACAACCGGAGGAGGGAGGTCTGGGTTCGATTCCCGACAATTTTTTTCTCACAGAGTAAGTAAAGTAAAGTAAAGTAAGTAAGTAAAGAAAAGTTCAGTCCAGTGTGACATACAAGTTTACAACACTTCAGTCCTCATTCGCCTTACATGTTTCGATTCAAAAGAATCATCTTCAGAGGCGCACCACTACGATAAGGAAACACCGTCACATAAGATATTCTAACAATATGCACTTTAGATATGACTAATGCTCTCTATATAAATTTTGTTATCACGGTTGGTTCCGATGTTTATCTTAGGCACTCACAATGGCACTTCTTGAAGTGTAGATTTACTTATGATGATTTTCTTTTAGTGTATTTCCTTGTTATTCTGACTGGGGGTTTTCACTGCATGCGATATGGTGTTCACTTTTCCATACAGTAGCCTCCCAATGTATTTAAAATTGTATTAAAATTTCCATGTAAACAATGAGTTATTATATTAAAATATCTTGAGCTGACATTGGGTCATGTTGTTTTCCTCCTGATGGTGGGAGATGTCATTTATTTCTCTTGGTTTTATGTTCTTATTATTAGTAGTGTAGTTCATGTGCGTGCTGTGTCGTTTGTAAACTCGTATGTCACACTGGACTGAACTTTTCATTATCTACTCTGTAATTAATAGTGTGACGGACCAAAATGAGACAAGTTAAATTAATTTTTTTCTTCTTCTTAAGCTTCTTGGGGTGGGGTGAGACCGAGCCCACTTGGTAGGTCGGCCACTAACTGGCCTTATTGTACCAATCCCGGATGATAGATGACGAGTGTGGAGCAGGCAGTGAAATGAGAATTGGCAGGGGAAGCCGAAGTACTTGGAGAAAACCTGTCCCAGTGCCTCTTTGTTCACTACAAATCCAACATGACCTGACCTGGTCTCAAAACTGGGCTGCTGTGGGGGGAAGCTGGTGACTGAGCTATGGCACAGCCTCAGCAGAGATCCCCATCTTCTCCATAATGTCCATACTCATTCTGGGACCCTCTCAGCCTCCTTTACAGTGGGACTGGAGGATGTTTCCCCAAGGGTAAAGCACATAGCAGACCATCTATGGGCATCTAATGTCAAGGTTAAAAATTGTGGAGGTGTACATCCACTAGCCCATACAGCTTAACGGCATGGTGCTTAATTAATTAACTGCAGAGAAAACTACAAAACAATTGCAATAAATACTCCAGCAATGACTCATCAGTGTTGCCAAATATAGCCATCTCGTAACGATCACTGTTACGTAGAGACTACAGATTGAGTGCTCAGTTCAATCAAATGCAGGGTTTCTGAAGGCAGAGGTATCAGGTTCCTTCAAAATATTTGTCGCCACCAGTGAAACAACTTAGCATGATAGCCAAAAGATGTCCCCTTTGTGAGGTGAAGTCCTTTATTTTATCCTTGGTACAGTTGACCACATAACAAGAATTGAATATTTGTCTGTTTTGCTTCTTTGTTCTGTTTCATTTTTCTTTCTCAGCTACCTATTCTTCCCCTGTAATATCTGCTTTGGTTCTCCTTGCTATGTCACTACAATCTCAGACTGCTCTGCTTTTAACATTTCCCTTGTAGCCATTTCACTGTACCGTTCTCTGGAGATGCAAATTCTTGAGTGAAATGTTTTCAAAAATGTTCTCACTGTCTTTGCTCTGTGATCAGTTGCATTTGTCTATCACTCATAGTATATCTCTCATGGTTTTGTCTTGTGTAAATGAAGGATTTCATCATAATAAATAGGCAGGATATACTTAAAGGTCTTAATCCATTATTTTTAGGTATATTTCTGCTTCTAGAAGTGTATTGAAACATGATAGGATACTCAGCACTCAGATTATGAGAACCTTCTGGTTCTGTAAACTGCAACTGCATCAGACCAGTTTCAAGACTGGAAAGCATACTGAAAAGTACATACTAAATAATACATTCTACCATTTAAATACAGTTTATAATAATAGTAAATATTATGCCATTTGTGTACTTGACAACTGTTTTTTTAAAGTGCTTCATTTCACTGATAAATTCATTTAGTTATATAGTAATTGTTTTCAGTTTACGTAATTATGTATAAAATGCTAACATTTCAATAACATGTTTCAGCTGCGAGGAGCAGAATTAATGAAGAGTACAAAAAGAACAAACACATTACAAATGCAGAAGCAATACATGAGGTAATTTTTTTTTTTGTAGCAGAGGGTTCAGAATTATGACTTGGCTTATATTATATTATGTACTTAATGTACATTCTCCTGTATTTACAGATGATAAAACTTTCTAAAGCTGTGGAAGAAGAGTTAAAAACATCTGTAGTGCAAGCATGTGAGGTTGAACATGGAAAATATGGTATATGCTAGATTAATTGATATATATATATATATGTGTGTGTGTGTGTGTGTGTGTGTGTGCGCGCGCGTGCGTGTGTGCGTAACATTTTAAAGAGAGTAAGTAAAAGGTAACTTGAACACACAAAGTAGTGCATAGTCCAAATAAAGAGGCAAGAAAAATCGTATTTTATTTCCGTGGTGCAGACATTTGAATTCTTAATGGTAAAAATGCTTATTGTATGAACATCAGTGAAAAAATCTGCCTATATGTGTTAAAAATTTCTGTAACAGCACATGAAAGCTCTGAAATTATACAGTTTCAGGTAACCTTAGCAACAGATTGTCAAGCATGAACACGTTGCACGAATCTAAGTTATTGTATAGTAGGTTATGAATGAGCGAGCATGCTTTTGTTTCAGTATAGTGTGTTTATTTTCTAATTATTGACAATATTTGATGTAGATAGGTGAAGTGTAGTTAATATTTATCATTGGTTGTTGCTTATTTTATAAAGATATTATTTGTTTTACTGCTCTGCAAATGTACTTTACCCATTAATTTTTCATTTGTTTTCAGAGTTGCGAATACTGCCAGACACAAAAAAAATTGACAATATTCCATTTCAGGATTGTAAAAATTAATCATGAACATTTGTTAGTTAGTGTAGAGTACAAGAGGACACAGTGCAGATTGTACCAGGATAAGTACAAATATTATGTACATATGTTTATTAAGCAGTTTGTAAAATTAATCACTGAGACTGACCTTGTATGGCTGTATGTCACATTTCATATTCAGAGACCCTTTACCTTGTTTAATTTGCATGAATAGATGTTATTTGTGCAATATGTTCCAATGTCATCACTTTTATAAGGTAAAGGTGAGGGTAAAGTTCGCTGTGAAGTCATATAAGGCGTATGGAAACAAAACTCCAAATATGGTTTACCATGCCATTAACTGAGGATAGGAGGTAGTAACTGTACTAAAATTGCTTTAACTACTGCTTAAATGTACCTGGCTTTGATAGACAGATTTCAGTACATATTCTTCAAATGACTGAATCAACTTTGCCCGACACCAAAAAAACATTGAAGTACCGTATTTACGCATGTATAGGCCGCACATTTTTTGCCAAAAATTCAAGAGGAAAACTGGGGTGCGGCTTATATTCGAAATATTCGAAATCACACTTCATTTAAAAAAAAATTATATTCATAATTAGTAATACAGGGTGTTCTACTCCTGAAATAATATTCCAAGAAAATTATTTTTTCTATAATTTCTGTCTGAAAATTGTGCTGCGGCCTATACACGCACGCGGCCTATACATTCGTAAATATGGTAGTTGCTGAATATGCTATATGTGAGAAATACTTGAGCAGAGAGACTGTTGAATAGCTATGTACTCTCTCTGTTGTTTATCTTGTACAGCTGTCATTACAAGTACAAATTACTCACCAGTATATATCAGTTGTCTTTGTGTTTTTATTCTCATAAAATCATTCAAAACCTGTTTTTGTGTTCCCATTAGCAATACTGAAATGATATGGTGAAATATACATTTTAACAGCTGGTTCTTCTGCATGATACTTATGTGAAAAATAAACCATATTATTCATGTGAAAGAAGGTTCTGCCATATCTTAATGTTCAAGTTCCAACTTCTTCAGTGATTTTCAAATTGTTGAACAAAGTGTGTTTAACTTAGTCTTTCTTGGACAAGATATACACTAGACAGAATACTGTGCTAACCAAGGAATAGCCTGTTAAAGCTGGAACCAGATTACAACACTTGCCCTGTTAATCCCTGATGCTGTGAGCTCAGTAGGTACAGGTTTAAACAACAACAGCATTGAGAGCAACTAAAAAGTTTGATTTTCTGCCATATAATATTACTCGTAGACATGTTCAAGTAATTGAAGGTGTTATATTTTAGCGTCCTGTTGCACTGATTTAAGTCCATGATTTATTTAATCCGTCTTGCAGTGCATACACTCATTTATCTCCTTCTCTCCCTCGCACTACATGTTTCGGCATAATAATGCCATCTTCAGGTGCTTACTTATCCACGTCAAACCAGTTCATTGCATGCCATGTTCACACATTAAAATAACTAAAATATGTATCTATCATATACATTGTCAAACGTTAAAAATATTAAAATTGTTCAGGATACCACATCGCTACGTCGCCCCTCACTACGTCAGTCACGCCCATTCTCCTTTGTTGGAGCATTCCTTCATTATCTTGTGTGTTGTGCTTTTGTTGTGTCATGCTCCTGCGACTGCATGTGTTATAACACACACTGCAAGACGGATTAAATAAATCATGGACCTAATTGAAGGTGATTATGAGAGATCTCATTTTTATAACTTGTTTCTGTGGGCAATAAGTATTTTGCGGTATCGTTGACCCAGAACTTTCATATTTTGCTGATGAAGCTTGGTTCCATCTGAGTGAGTATATCATTTCTCAGAACAAAATTTATTGAAGCAGCAATAAACAGACATACATTTAAGTACCCCTTCATGACCAGAGGATTGGTGTGTGGTGTGCCATTATTGCTACATGAACAGTAGGACAACTATTTTTTGAACAGCCTATTAATCCTTATTGGTATGTCTTGACAGAATTACAGAAGAAGAAAAAGACATGGTTATTTTATACCAGATGGCCCCACAGGAAGCACACATTGCTAATTATTTCATTAATGTTTTAAATGAGTTGTCTGAAGGCAGACTGATAAATTGTAGATTGTGGCTCGCAAGGTCTTCAAACTTACATCCCTGTGATTCTGATCTGCTGGAAAGCTGAAAAGATGAAGTGTATTCTGATAATACCAGCTCATTTGCGGAAGTTGAATACAATGCATTTGAAAGGGTTATCCCTACTGAGGTCAGTGAATTGAAGGTACTATCAAACAGTATTTTAAAAAGATGTGAAATTTAAGAGAAGAAGGGAGACATTCTGAGGTTTTTAAATTTATTTGCTGTAAGAAATTGACATCCATGTTTATAATGCTTGGCATATTAGCCATAGTGACACATTCATTTTTCTGGACATGGTAGCTAAGTTTCTGGCAAATGTACCAATAGTAATGGAGCCTGGTGATTCAGTCATTCAAGGAAGACCCATAATATGATGGATATTGTTCATTTTCTGACTTATATTTTCTATTCACTGTGTTCTGGTAGATAGTTCTACTCCCATCTTCATGTTTTTGATTGTTATATGGCATTTATTTTACTGTACTCATTTTAAGGATCGTGAAGTCTCAGATCGAAACTGGGATCTGTTGAATATTAAGCTAGACTGCTAACCATTAGACTGTTGATGTAATAACAATAACAGGACAGGAGTTGAACAAACTTCTAGAATATCTTGAGTATTAAATATACCTCTGGCAGTGGATGTTGTTAAACATAATACAATGCAACCTCAATAATTTGAACTAATTAATTAAAAAAAAGAAATCAGTTAAATTATTTATTCAAAAGATTTATGGGTATACTTTATTTATAAACAATTACTGGCACCGTAAATGTTTGACTACATGCTGGGCTTGAGACATGTGGTAACTGGGTCATATCTGTCACCACCTAGAGAGCCAGACCCATTAACACATAGTATCATGTTTCACAAGAATCCATTACTTTGAGGAAGTAAACTAATTATATTAAATTTGTAATTTCTGGAGGTACCCCCAAATTTTTTGTGGTGGTACTGTTGGTTCAGATTAATGTGGGTTTTGATTAATGAGATACCTCTGTAAATGAAATGTAAAGTTCATACAGAAAAATATTTGTCTGATAGTTTCCCTATCCAAAATGATGTAAAGCAAAGAAATGCTTTATTGGCATTGCTTTTCAACTTTGCTTTAGAATATGCCATTAGGAAGTTCCAGGAAAACCAGGTGGGACTGAAATTGAATGGGACACATCATCTGTTGGTCTATGCTGATGATGAGAATCTACTAGGTGATAATGTAGTTACCATAAAGATAAACACACAAACTTTAATTGGCACTAGTCTGGAAGTAAACATGGAGAAAAAAGTATATGTTGCTGTCTTGTCACCTGAATATAGGGCAAATTCGTGACATAGAGATTGCTAACAGATGCTTTGAAAATATGGTACAGTTCAGATATTTGAGAACAACTATAACAAATCAAAAAATGATTCAAGAGGAAATTAAGGAAAGATTGAATTCAGGTAATGCTTGCTACCATTCTGTCCAGAACCTTTTGTCTTCTCGTCTGCTGTCCAATAACATAAAAATTAGAATATACAAAACTGTAATTTTGCTTGTGGTTCTGTATGGGTGTGAAACTTTGTCTCTGACATTAAGGGAGGAATGTAAACTGAGGGTGTTTGAGAACAGGGTGCTGAGGAGAATATTTAGATGGATGAAAAATGAAGTGACAGGAGGTTGGAGAAAACTACATAATGAGGAGCTTCATAACTTGTATTCTTCTCCGAGCATAATTGGAATGATCAAATCAAGAAGGATGGGATGGGCAGGACATGTAGCACAAGTGAGGGAGAAGAGGAATGAATATATGATATTGGTGGGAAAGTCAGAAGGAAGGAGACCACTGGGAAGACCAAGATGTTGGTGGGTAGACAATATTAAAGTAGATCTTACAGAGATAGAATGGGATGGTATGGACCTGATCGATCTGGCTCAGGATAGGGACCAGTGGAATGCTCTTGTGAACACGGTAATGAACCTTCAGGTTCCATAAAATGCTGGGAAGTTCTAGAGTAGCTGTACGATTGGCGGCTTCTGAAGAAGGGCTCAGCTCCATGAGTGAGTGAGTGAGTGAGTCAGTGAATTACTTGTACGTGTCTGTGGTATTTCTTTTTGTCAGAGATTGCACTGATATAATCCACAATTTAATATTATCCCATACACGTAGTACTTTGAGTTCTCTACATGCTGAAGCATTGCATATTTTATTCTGTAGAAAACAGAATTAAAATAAGTGTTTAACAATAATACAGTTCCTCATAAAATTACTGGCTCTCATGACATATAATTTACTTCATGGCATAGTGCTTAATCAGTTAAGCACAGGGATAACGTTACTTTTTTTTACTTTAGTCAGCTTTTGTATCTAATGGTAATGATAGATATAAAATACCAGCAATTTAATAATTCATAATTCCCAACCTTAAAATTGAATTGGTTATAGATGTACAAATTAAAATATACAAAACTATCATTTTGTCTGTGTTTATGTATGGGTGTGAAACTTTGTCTCTGACATTAAGGAAGGAACATAGACTGAGGGTGTTTGTGAATAGGGTGCTGAGGAGCACATGTGGACTGAAGAGTGATGAGGTGACAGAATGGTGGAGAAAACTGCATAATGAGGAGATTCATAACTTGTACTTGCCGCCAACTGTAACTAGAATGATCAAGTAAAGGGGGATGAGATTGGCAGGGAATGTAGCATGAATGGGGAGAAAGGAATGTGTGTAGGATAGTGGTGGGAAAGATACCACTAGGAAGACCAAGACATAGGTGGGTGGATACTATTAAAGTGGATCGTAGGATGGCGTGGTATGGACTGGATTGATTTGGCCCAGGATAGGGAACGGTGGAGGGCCTGTTGCGAACACGGCAATGTACCTTCGGGTTCCATAAAATGCTGGGAAATTTTTGAGTGGCAGCACAACTGGCGGCTTCTCAAGAAGGGCCCAGCTCCATGGCGTTAGCTAAACATTTTTTAATTATGGTGGCGAAATATTTTTAATTTGAAGAAAGCAGTTTTCTGGGATGTGGAACCGTGAAAACCTCAAATCTGACATATTTTTAATTTGATGAATATTGTCAAGAAGCATTATATAAAGGCCCGGGTATTACAATAGGAACAATAAATACCGATTATAAAAGGGAGACTGATTAGGCCGCAGACCCCAGCCTGTAGCCCACATAACATGGCTTTGATTTTTGTTATAGCGGCAGTGCGATATCGAAAAAGGCAAAGAGTACCGTATTTTCCCCACATGCATTGTTTTATAAAATTAAATTTCTCGTTAGTCAGGAATGGCCGTGCGCATGCGCAGAAAGAAATGGAGACAAAGGTTGTGTGATGTGTTGAATCAGTCAGCTGTAGTTTTTAGTGAATGGCTTGATATAAGGTTTGATTTTAGAACTGTTGTAAACAATATACATGTGGGATCATGTTAAATGGGTGTGGATATATCGTCTTCCTGCTTTTTCTGGTTCCATGCATCGAAAGTGGTAAGTAGAGACTTTTTGACAACATTGGGATGCGAGCTATGTATTGGTTTACCCTGCCCTTCCGTTTTCACCGTTGTCAACTTTGGCATTGTGAATCCGTGTTAGATTATAACACCAAGTCAACAACAATACAATAATTCAGAAATCTTTGTAATGTTGAGTGATGGAAACCAATAATTTTTACTAAGTAGGCCTCATGGAGAGAAGGCGGATGAAATTGGTGATATCGAATAGCCATGAGCGATGTTATTTTCCGAAAAAGTAATGCATTGTAAAATGATTGTGTGAATAATCATTGAAGTGTAATGTGCAGTTGATATAGTCGGTGCAGAAACCATATTCAAGAGATTCATACTGTTACAGATGCATTCGATTTTAATAATTGGCTGACAGTGCATTAAGATGAAGCATAAGGTGTCAAGCGTTTTATTTATTACCATCTTCATTTTAAAATTTAAGCAAAATGCTTAGTTTTGGGGTTGAACAATGAGCTCAGTAGGTGTGTTGGTAGATGTGTGTTTACAGCTGAAGAAAAGTTTAGGGACGTATTTAGGATAGCCCAATGTTTAGTAGCAGAATTTGTGAGTAGCAGGCATAAAGTGCAGAAGACGCGTTTAAGCCATGAAGTTATTCTAATTATTACAAAACACTACAACAGCAGTTCACCACCAGTCACATTATAGATATTTACGAATAAAGAGGGTGTTAATAAAGCAACTGCTATTTTTGTTTTACATTCCTCTTCATATGATTTCAATGTTTTATTTGAATGAAGTTAAAATGTTAAAACTCTGAGATAACTTCAGACATTCATCACAGATATAAAAATACGCTGTATTGAAAATGTACTCAGGGCTCCAGAAATGCAACTTAATCGTACCAGTTACTTAAAATTTATCAACCTACAGTCTTACAGTTACTGCATATTTGAACCTGCTACTAACGGGCCTATTTCTGGAACCCAGGATGTACTAATTTAAACCCCTGGCCATGTCTTCACTCTTTCATTTTATTTTCATACATTACATTTCATCTTCTAGTTTGTTTCTATTATAATTCTGTGGGCATTAGGATGTTATGAGCCAAAGCAAATTTACGATTGTATAATACATTCATTGATGAGAGGACATAATGCTCCACTCTGTGCTACATCTACTTTCTGTTAGGCAGATGTGTCAAAATAATGCCGTTTTCAACATGTGAATGTTTCATGGCAGTGAAGTGAAGGAAGTATTACAGCTGTTGTAATTGGTGGCCTGAAACAAATTGCAAGTGATTCTTATGTTTGGATCACATTTGTAAAGACTCCAGTAATAGGAAGTTTAGGTGTTCTTTGTTCCTAAACCCTTCCTACCTACCACTTGGCGCTACAGCCCTGGGTGAGCCTGGGCCTCCCCTACAACCAGTCTCTACTGCTCTCAATTCCTCGTCTTCTCTATGTATCCTTTCACCTTCATATTCTTCAGGTCGTTCTCAACGTCATCTAGCCATCTCATCCTGGGTCTTCCTTTTCTTCTTTTGGAATATAGCCTTCCTTTTAACATTATCTTTGGCATTGCATTATCGTACATTCTTTTGACATGTCCCAACCATCTTATTCTTTGTGACTTGATAGATCTTACTATATTTTCTCCTTTCAGTAATGTGTTCGTCTCTTCATTGTATCATATCCTCCATATATTATTTTCCTTTTCTGGTCCNGTATTATTTTGCTCTCGAATGTTCTCAGTGCATTCTCTTCTCTTACTGTTAAGCTCCATGTTTCTGTCCTATATGTAGCAACAGGTCCTGTCACTGTTTTGTATACTTGTAGCTTAGCTGCTCTTGATTGATTGATTGATTGATTGATTTATTTAACATCCATAACTGTTACATTATGTACAATTGGACAAGTCAGTTTTTAAAAAAATATATGAGATTAAACATCACATCAAATGACTAATAATATAAAAAACCATAGAAAAATAATTATTTTACTTTTAAGTGTACTAAGATTTGCGAAGTAGGCCCGGTTTTCAGCTTGTATCCTTTCATTAACATAACTATCATTTCTATTGCCATTATGTTCCCAAACCCTAGCATGTTTTTAATTTTAGTACATTCTTTTCTACTTGGAAGATGCCTTTGTATGCTAATTTTGTGAACAGTTATTATTGCAGCCTATTGTACTGTGTGTGGTACTTCCTTTGTGTCTGGATACCTTCATTTTAAGTTAATTACTGACTCATGTGGTTTGCTGGTTACACTGCCCCATTTCATGCCAATATAGCAAGAGGTTTTCATGTATACTGTTTAAAAGTTGGGTTACAAGCCTTGCCAAGCCAGTGAAGGGAATTGAGAGAGGGCCGTTTCTATTTCAGATAGTATGGCCAGTACTCAGAATTAGGGACCGGATTTTTATGCCCTAATATTCCCTTAAATATGTATGCATTTGTGCATGAAAGACTTCTGAAATATGCACTAAAATATGAACATAAAAATTTATACCAAATATTAAAATTGATTTTAGACTATTTTAACACCAACAAATCAATATTTAAGTTCATTTTATGTAATCACTGAATGACTCACTTGCAATAAAAAGCTATACTTAAATACAAATCATGCAACAAAGCCAACATTTCATTACAAATAAAAAAAAAAAAAACAGTACTCACATTTAGCTCTCCGAACTTTCAACTTCTCTTCTGCTGCAGTTCACAGTTACTAAAAGTTTTAGGTTTTCCATAGTCGGTCACCTCCTGTTGTCTCATAAGGTGTCCTTATAGCGGCAAAAACTTCTTTCCACCTCACAGGAACTTAGGGGCGCAGGTACAAAAGCCGCTATTCGCTCCACTGTTAGTGATTTTTTACTTGGCAGTTCAGTATGTTTACTGGCTAAAATTTCTTCAATTTCACAAATTTATTCATATCCTGGATTTTTTTAAAGGATGCTGTGTACTTTTTCTTTTACTACTTCAACAACTCTTTCAAGAACCGAATTCAATTTGGAATCAGTGGTTTTTAACACATTTAGCGACTGATACAAAGTAGTATTGCTATTGCTTGCCTTCAGTGAGGAAATGACTGATGGAAGATGAGAGAAGTGAGCAGATATATAGGAAAGATTAATTTCTAGTTCTGCGTTTTTAGTACATCTTGGGCAATTTGAATTGATGCTACACATTTGGGATCAAATGTATTCACGACATTCCTAACTGTTTCTAAATGTTCGGTATAATAACTCACTGCACACAGCCACGTGATCCAGCGCGTTAAAATTGGTTTTGGCGGAAGTGGAACGCTCTGTTCTACTGCTTTAAAGGCTTCGTTTCTGTATGGTGCTTTAACATATACCTTCTTCACAGAAGACACCAACTTGTCAACAAGCGGAAAATTTGCACGAATTGTTTCAGCAACAGGGTGCAACCCATGGGTAAGGCAAGTCAAATGTGTCATATTTGGAAATATAACTTTAAGAGCAGTACCGGCTTTCATCATATAACTTGTGGCATCAGTCACAAAGAGCAATACGTGCTCATACTGAATGCCATTCGGCCATAGTAAATTCATGGAATTGATAAAAAATTTGGAAACTGTGGAGCTATTTGTGGTTTCAAATTGTTCTACCGCAAGAAGATATGGGGTAGATTGTTCATTCTTATTAAGCGATCCAACTATACAATTTGCAGTAAACCGTCCCTCACAATCTTGTGTTTCGTTGATTGATACCCACACAAAATTATCTTGAATCTTATCTCTAATGTTTTCAATTGTAAGATCGTAACACTGCTTCACGTAATTTTTGCGCACAGTAGATTCATCCATCACTTTGCACTGTGTATAACTTCTGTATGAAGTTTCTCAGAGTAGGATTGGTTAGTTTCCACAGCGGAATATCTGCCGCTAAAAGGCGTCGCATAAATCAAAGGAAAACTGTGAAAATCTATTACAATAGAAAATTCACTAAGCAATTTTTGAACAGGAGCACTTTTCGTGGATTTAATTTTAATATTCTCTTTGTGTATATTAGTGTTCAAATGCTGAAGCAGTTGAAAGCGTTTTTCACAACCAACCGTTTTCTCACATGCTTGGCAATAAAGAATTTCGTTATCCGTACTTATCATCTCTCCTTCAGACTCCCGCTGATACAGCTGTAATTTAGTTTATTGACTTACTTACACTTTCGGCACGACTACAGAAAGCTAAACAAACTTAACTACAGACTAGTCAGCACTAATGTGAATGGCTCCCGGCTTCAAATGAAGAAGCGTAACGAACCTTATGGAGACTTTGGAAATAAATAAGTGAAGTCCCTTATTGGTTGAATAGTATTACGTTGATAGCGGCTACATGTGAACGCTTCCGACTAATCTCTTCACGGTCACTGTGATGGTACGCGGATGAGGCAAGTTACGAGTAGAGTGATCGGGGAAGTCCCGTCCTGGGTATTGCATCAGAAACATGAATCATGATGAAATGTTGAGTCAAATATGCAACATATTCTAATACGGAAAAGAAAAATTGTATACACACGACCATGATTGAAAATTTGAACATAAAATTAAAAAATATATATGATAAAACATTTTAAAAAGGAAATGTGCAGTATAAATAGAGATATTCGAAAATATGATGCTTATTCATAAAACAGGCAAAATATGCATTTATATGCACCATCAAAACATGTCCAAAATTTAAGAAATGAAGTACCGTATTTACGCATGTATAGGCAGCGTGCGTGTATAGGCCGCAGCACAATTTTCAGACAAATTATAGAAAAAATAATTTTCTTGGAATATTATTTCAGGAGTAGAACACCCTGTATTACTAATTATGAATATATATTTTTTTAAATGAAGTGTGATTTCGAATATTTCGAATATAAGCCGCACCCCAGTTTTCCTGTTGAATTTTTGGCAAAAAATGTGCGGCCTATACATGCGTAAATACGGTAATTCATACATAGTCCAAATGAGCATACTTTCTGGTTGCAAGAAAGAAATATGCATTTGCATTAA